TTAGCAGTTTTCTAGGCCAACTCCATCATTTTACAGTTGAAGAAACTGAGACCCAAAGAGATGAGGTGACTCAGATGTAGTCACCTAGCTAGTAAGAAGCAAGACCAGGATTTAAACCCTGGTCTTCTGGCTCTAACTCCAGCTATTAGAGGCACACGTATATTAGCAAAGTGCTCGGTTTATTTGGTATTTTTGTAGCACTTACCTGTTACAAAATATTTTCACACGCCTAACAACAGCTGCATTTATAAGTAGCAGTTTCCTCACACTAGCTCTTTAAAGAAGGTAATGTAAGAATTATCTGCGTTCTTTTTTTCTATTCCTTTTTTTTTTTAATCTTTGTTATAGGGGTAGTTCTCTGGAAGAGGGGAAGAAAAGGGCTACAGAGAGAAATGTACATGATATAAAAACAAAATTATCAGTAAAAACTAATTTTAAAAAAAAAAGCTATCTGCATTTGACAGATGAGAGAACTGAGGCCAGTGTCAACATTGTTGCCATAGTAAGCAGAAGAGCCAGGTCTCACACGCAGTTCTTGCAGCTCCCAGGCCAGCGTTGCTTCCCTTGTACTATGCTGCCTCTTAATCTGGTCTTCGCTGGTCATAGCCCTGTAAGCGGGCAGTGAGATGGAAAAAAGAACGCCTAGGTTCTAATTGCAAATATTCTCACTACCTGCATGACTTGAGAAAAGTAATTTCATTTCTTTGTCTCTCTGCTGCTTGTCTCTTCATCTATAAAATGACTAGATGATCTCTAAGGTTCCTTCCAGCTGTGACCCCACATTCCTATTAGTATCCCCATAAAGTTACAGGTCTCTGACTCTAAGTGCCACGTTCTTCTTCACCACACCCTTCTTATTTATTCCTACACTGCCCTGTGTAGTGGTCTCAATTCCAAGGTGGATAGAGTGTAAAGGGAGGCGAGTGTGTCAGAGGAAGAAGGAAGGAGATGGTGGGAAAGAATAGGTCTATTCAGAGTCAGAAGCAGCCAAAGAAATTTGGGGCTGTATCATGAAACTGCTCAGGATGCCTTCAAACAAAAAACGCCCCTCTCCTAATTTTACCACTGGTTTACTCCTGTTGCTGTCACCCAAGAGAATAAGGAAGGATTCTTTTTCCTAGCCTGACTTGAAAATTATAGGTTAACTGCATATTCCTGTTCCCTACTCCCAGTCCTCTGTTTGTTTGCCCAGACATTTAGAATACAAAATCTATGATAGAGTGAGGAATTTGGAGCTATAAAATACATTTGAAAGGTGGGGCCAAGATATCTGATTTGTTTCATTTTTTGTACTAGGTACTTAGTACCTAGCATGTGTTGTTGTCATTGTGCCTGACTCTTCATGACCGTGTTTGGGGTTTTCTTGGCAGAGATATTGGAGTGGTTTGCCATTTCCTTCTCTAGTTCATTTTACAGATGAGGAAACTGAGTCAAATAAGGTTAAGTGACTTGTCCAGGGTCACACAACCAGTAAGTGTCTGAGGCCAGATTTGAGCCCAGGAAGATGAGTCTTCCTGACTGTAAGCCCGGCACTCTATCTACTGTGCCACCTAGCTGCCCTATAATTTTATTACAATTATAATATTAAGTTATTAGAAAGAAGAGGAATTAAGAAAAGTATCAGGAAAACAAGACACAGAATCAGGAGAGAATAAGAGGCCCCTCAGATTGAAGCTGGCCTGGACGGAGTAGATGCCCCCAGACCCAGGAGTTCTAGCCATAAATATATAATCCTTGAGCTGGAAGAGACCTCAGAGGCGATCCAGTCTAAGACCTCTCTTGATTCTGGACTTTGCCACCACGCTTCATATCTCTTCTCTCTCCCCTACTGCCTTTGGCCCTCTTCTCCTATTGGTGAATTCCTCCCAAGAGCTCCATTTTGAAGAAAGGCCCAGACCAGCCATGCTTCACTCTTTTGATTTGGCCACCATACTCCATCCCTCCCCCCTTTTTTTGTAAATTTTTATTCATTTTAAACTTAAATATAAAACAAGAAAAGAAAAAACATTTCCACATACACAGTAGAATATAAGAGAGGATTCAATATAAAACAATAAACTACCTGACTCTTTCTATATGTTATCTTCCCCCATTAGAGTGTAAGCTCCCAGGGGCAGCTAGGTGGTACAGTCACTAAAACACCAACCCTTGGAGTCAGGAGGACCTGAATTCAAATTTGGCCTCAGACACATACTAGCCGTGTGACCTTGGGCAAGTCACTTAATCTCAACTGCCTCCAAAAAAAATAAGCTTCTTAAGGGCAGGGACAGTCCTTTCTTGCTTGTATTTGTATCCCCAGTGCCTAGGAAAATGTTTGGCACATTATAAGCACTTAATAAATGCTTCTTGACTTAACTCTCAGCCCAGGGCTCTAGCTACACAAGAGGCAGGTTACATAGTGTTGGACTTAGAGGCAGGAAAAGCTGGGTTTAAATCCTGACCCAGATACTTGTTAGCTATAAAAGCCTGGAGAAAGTCCTTCAATCTCGCCATCTCTAAAACGTGAGTAATAAAACACCTATCCTACAGGGCCATTGTGAGGGCCAGTGAGAAAACGTACATAAAGGGTTTGTCAAAACTTAAACCTGGGTGGTACAGTGGATAGCACACCAGCCCTGGAGTCAGAAGGACCTGAGTTCAAATGTGACCTCAGACACTTCATATTTACTAGCTGTGTGACCCTGGGCAAGTCACTTAACCTCACTGCCTAGCCAAGAAAAAAAAAAAAACTTAAACCTGGAGTTCTTCACCTTTTTTTGTGGACCTCAGATTAAGAATCTCCACCTTGAAAAACTGCTAACATTACTACAGTCCTGGCTCCCTAGAAGATAGAGGCATGACACTGTGTTCTGAACTAGGATTTGACTCCAAGAGACATAAGACCACACTAAGGTCCCTCAAAGGAACAGTTATTTGCTTTCCCCACTTCCAGGGTCCCCACCTCCATCTGCCACATTCTCTAATCTGACCTCAGAGCCAACAGTGGCAAACCAATGCTAGAATGGTCTTCAAGATCTCTGGCAGAATTGGAGTGGGCAGGGCCCTGCTTAGACAGAAGGACCTCCCTGCCCCTACCCACCCCTCATGAGGAATCTACTCCCTGGTACTCAGCTCAGCTCAAGAGCCTTGGTGTCTTCCTGATCCAGACTTACCTCTATCCTCCCCCTTTACCTCATCACAACTGGAGGTTTCAGATACTGCTCAGATGGATTAGGAGTTGTAGCCTGCCTGTGCACCCGAGCTAGCCTGGAGCAAATATCTAGGGCCTTTCGGATTTGACACTTCACCTTGTTCTTTCCCCACCTCAACTTTTGTGCTTTCAGACCACAAGGCAAAACAAACTCGTTTGTTCTTCCGCTTTCCAAAGCAGGCCTTGAAGACTGTTTCCCTATTTGATGTTCCTCTGGGCTTTCCCTTATTACGTACACTAAAAGACTCATACAAAAAGGCACACAAGGCCAACATTTTGCTTTTCCCCAATCCAGGTCCCACGTGCTCATCAATGCAAAGTCCTAGAATGTACAAGGTCAGATCTAGAAGGGGCTTAATTATCTTTTGGCCCAATCTCTTATTTAAAAAAAAAAAAGTCAACTGAAGTATAGAGAAGGAAGGCACAGCACATCAGCGAGAGGTCCAGGGATAGAACCTAGGCCATCTGACTCCTGGGTCACAAGGTCCTTTCCACTCAAGCTGCCTTTGCCTTCATACTGGTAATCCTTCTCACAGGTAGGACCTGTGAGTAGCTTGTGGATGCTGTAAATGAGCACAGTGCTACTTGAAGACAGTGCTAGTTTTATTGATAGCTCTCTCCTCCTTTGGTTTATTATTATATCTTTCTAAGAGTTCACATGGTGCATTAAATAAAAACAGGGCCAATAAGTGTTGGTTGAATTTACTCTCACCACAAATGGATGATTTTCTCCTCCTTTTCTCAGTACTGTAATGAGTTGGTCAGGAAGAAATTAACTTGTCTAATAACACTGGAGAAAAGACCAAAGGATCATAGAACTTAGACCTGGAAGGAATTTGGAAGATCATCTAGTCCAGGGGGACTCAATCTGGGGTCCATGAACTTAAAAAAATTTTTGATAATTGCACTTTTATATATGTGATTTTCTTATAATCATATATTACTTTATAAGATTTTTCTGAAAAGGGGTTCATAGGCTTTACCACACTTCCAGAAGGGTTCATGACAAAAAATGATTATGGACTCTGATGCCCAAATCTCTCATTTTACAGTGTGAAAACTGAGCCTGCTCAAAGTCATATTGGTAGTAACAGGTATAATTCACAACCAGGACTCCTGACTCTAAATCTAGTGCTCTTTCCAGGACACCATATTTTCTCTCTTAAATTAAAAAAAAAATAGGATTTAGGTGACTGATTCATCTACAAGGAGGAAACAAAGAAATACACATATTCCGTTGTGAGTACCTCAGACCCATAACTGGTCCTCCATAGCACTGAAGGAGGGAGACAAGAAAAAAGTGGGGGTGGGGTGGGGAAAGCTCAACAATAAAGCAAACTTCTAGAGAATCAGCTGAAAGGGATCTTAGGTGCCATTCTGTCTAACCCTCTCATTTTACAGAGGAAGAAACTAAGGACTAAAAAAAATAAGGGACTTGCCCATGGTCACACAGGCAGTTGGCAGCAGAGCACAAGTCTTCCAGTTGCTAGTCAGCGAGCACTCTTTCCTTTACAGCCCATGCAAGAATATAGTGGAACGGGAAACAAAGAGAGGGGCTCCTAAAGAGAAGGCTCTCTCTGGCTGTGTCGTTCACTCCCCTTTTAAGTAGACTCCCATTTGTTGAAACTCAGAGCTTGTGAAAAGAGAAACAAGGAAATTGAGGAGAGATCAAAGGTAGGTGAAGAGAACATAGCCTCTAAGAAAAGACTAGAGAGTTATGAACACCCAGAAGATACAAATTGGAGGCTACATTCAACCCCAAATCAGCTAAAGAATTAGGAAGAGGGGGAAAAAAAAAAACTTTACCTCCCTTGATCACAAGATGTACTGGGTTAAAGATTCTTCATGCCTGATTTAGCTCCTGGGATCACAGAAAAGTGAGGTGGCTTCTTTGCTTCTCAGAGGCACTGACTCCAGCTCCTTCCGATCAGACACAGCTTGAAGTTGGGAAAAGAACCAATTCTCTCTCCAGCGAGGAACGTCAGCAGAGAAGGGAGTGCTTAATCCTAGGATCTCAGCTCTGGTTCTGAACTCCAATACAATCCTCCTGAGCTCTGTGGATCCCTGGCGGTCTCCTGGCTGGACTCGCCCGGGGAGTGCCAGGAGGTGGGGAGTGTAAGCTGTTCTCAAATTGCAGCTGCCTTCTTCACAGCTAGGGGAAGTCTGACCGCCTCCGTTTGGCTGGCCGCCACTCAGAAAACCTTCTGTATTCTGGAGGGCTCAGGAATGCAGGCAGCAGAGGCCCTTGAAAACCCCATTCCAGACTCCTCTATTGCCACTAATAAAATCTCCTTTGATTCTCCCTTCCTGAGCTGGGGGAGAAAAAGAAGGGAGAGAAGAAGGAGTTGGGGACAAAGAATGATTCTCTGACCCAGATCACCAAATTCAGCACCTCACCCCTCCTCTAAAAGCCTAACCAAGACCATAGGATCACAGGATTTAGAGTTAGAAGGAATCTTAGAGATCATCAATCTAGTTGAAAAGCCCAGGATCTGGAACCCACTAAGCATAGGGAGTAGGATGGGGAGAGGGAGAAGGAGAGAGGGAAACCTCAGTATGCTTCAGTTTCCTTGTCTGTCAAATGGAAATAATAGCATTTATGATACTTACTCTGGCTTAATTTGACAGGAAATCCTACTCCAGAACCCATTTCCTGTTTGTTCTAATTCTTAGACAGTGTAAATAGGAAGAAATCCTAAGTTATCATCACCAGACCCAAAATGTTTTTTAATTATACTATAATAACAAATGTGGGAATGGAGGCTATGAGAAAGAAATTTAAACTGGTCAACAAAAACAAAAGTTTATACTTTAGAATCTGAAGTGAAAGAGACCTTTTTATTGTTGTTTGAGGTTCATTCAGTCTTATCCAACTCTGTGAACCCATGGATAATAGGACACCAGGCCCTTCTATCCCCAACTATATCCTGAAGCCTATCAAAGTTCATGCTTGTGGTTTCCATGACACTCTCCATTTCATCTTCTGCCATCCCCTCTTCCTTTTGCCTTCAATTTTCCCAACAACAGGATCTTTTCTAATGAGTCATGTCTTCTCATAAAGCTTCATCTTCAGTATTTGACCTTCAGTGAATAGCCTGAGTTAATTTCTTTAAGTATTGACTGGTTTGATCTCCTTGCTGTCCTAGGGATTCTCAGCACTTCTCCAGCACTACAATTCAAAAGTGGCGATTCTGTGGCACTCAGATTTTCTTATAATCCAGCTCTCATAGCCACATTGCTACTGGAAAACCATAGCTTTGACTATATGGGCCTTTGTCAGCAAGGTGATGTCTGCTTTCTGGTACGCTTTCCAGATTTTCCATAGCTTTCCTTCCAGTCTATTCCAATGTCCTTGATAAGTGGTCATCCTGTCTCCAAAAGAAGACCTCCAATAAGTTTTTCCTTACATTGAGCCAAAATCTCCCTTTCTGCAACTTCCATATGCTGGTTCTAGTTCTGTCCCTGGGGCTAGTCTAATGTCTGTCCCTCACAGCTGTCTTTAAGTGAGACAGTGGAAAGAATACTAGAGTCAGAAGATCTGGGTTCAGATCCTTCCTCTGAGGTGAGACACAAAGACAGAGAGACATAGACAGAGAGACAGACAGAGACAGAGACAAAGAGAGACAGAGACAGAGAGGGACAAAGAGACAGAAAGGCATAGACA